AGAACCCCAAGTGAGCGAGTGATCCCAAGCCCTCCCCTTTCCATCTGATTCTGTAATAACTGAACCAACGAAAAAAGTCTTCAGTTTCAGCCAAGAGTAAAAGTACCTATATAGACATTGAGTTCTATATGCGATTCTGCCGCTGTGACACGATTTATGATCAACGATAGACATACAATGAACGCATACGGGATATGAGTACGTGTGTGTTGTGTGAAAATGTGCACTGGAGATGGTAGTAGTTAATACGAAAATAACAGTAATCTACGTCAACTGACAAAGTCAAGGTCAGTGGCAAGTATAGCAAATGGCGACAGAGTAACGTGATACATTTTGCTAGGGAAATAGGGGCATTGACATGTTGCTAACAAAGGTAGGTAGGTAGAACAAGAACAAACCGCCTTAAAGCTATCTATATCCCAATAAAAACGACCCCACACATGACGAAAGCTGCAGGAAGAAACGAAAAGTGCCATATCCAAGAAATAGGGAGACCTGGGAAGTGCCACAGCTGCGCATACTACCTCCCAGCGCCAAGAAAAAGGGGGTTATCATCTCCCAACCACTCCCCGTAGGCAATGTCAGGGAATAAGATTCGGAAAAAGAAAAGAAAAAAGAGAGAAATTAGGAAAAGCCGGGCATACGGCAATGAACAGCTGGAATTAACCTAGAATTATTGGCCATTGTTCAAGGAATATCCGCCAGGGGGCCAGGTCTGTTGTTGCATCGGTGGAGGCCGATGCTGTGGTCCCGAAGATTGTTGTCGGTGGTGTTGTTGATGTTGTTGTTGCTGCTGCTGGTTCTCCCATCCACCCGGTCCCTGCGTATGCGCCCGTCCTAGTCCCTGTGCCTGTACCTGTCCTTGTCCCTGCAGGTGTCCTTGGCCCTGTACATGCCCTTGTTGCACCTGCCTCTGCCCCATCTGCTGTTTCTTCCCCCTAAGCGTCTCCATCAGATCCTGTGAATACATCTGGAATGTCTCCCCAAGCGACAGCGCGTCCTCCCATCGGGCACCGTACCACTCTAATAGCTTGCCGATTTGTCCTAGTGCGGTTATAGCCCGGTCGATGTTGAGAAGGGTGGTATTAGTATCCGACATCCCCTTCCTAGGCAGAGGTGGCGGGGCAACACCGGCCTGCTGCGAAGCAGAGTGTGAGATGGTGTGTGGTGAAAAGAGTAGAATGTCCGCGGCATCGGACCGGAGGATGGCAGCAAACTGCGTGCCAACAAAGAATAATCGCAGCACATCGTGGAATGTATACAAGGCTGTGTTTATCGACGCGTCGGCCAGGCCGCAGAGCCCGCTAATATACGAGATGGCGTACTCAAAGATCAGAAGCTCACCGTAGGTGGAGAGGTGCGGCGACCGGATACCAGGCGAGATGCAGAAGACGTGGCTGTAATACATTTCGAGTTCGAGCATTTGCCGTATGGAAGGGTTATGGGAGACGGGGAGGGTGGAAAACCAGGCGTGCATGTCGTGACACATGCGCCAGATGAAGGCGGTCGAGTCGGGCAAAGGGTGCGAGGGCGAGCCTTGGAAGAGGGATTGGTACCAGGTGGATTGCAGACGGCGAAGGCGGTAGAGGTAGGTGGAAGTTTCGGCGGTGGACGAGTCGTCGGCGAGGGCGTCGCGGACTTCGGCGGGGATGGCGTCATCGGCGAAGGAAAAGGCGCGGGCATGGGCTAGAGATATGGCTCTAGAGGGCGGTTAATAGGCTGTACGTACTAGAGAATGTGGGTGTGTAAGAGGGGCAATACCTGTCTAGGGAGTAGGCGCTGCGGAAAATTCGTCGACGGAGTTTGACATCGGTTATGCTCATGCCATGATGCTCAGGAGGGTCCGCGAAGGGCCCCTGGTCGAGGATCGCACGGCAAGTAAAGCCCAGAATCTGCCATGTGTCAAAGTGGTCTGGATCGTAGGTTGAGTAAAGTGTCAGGAGCAAAAGCGACTGAATCTGTTTGACGTTGCCTGGTGAAAGGACTTCTTGTGCAAAAGGCAAGGCACAAGCAAGATAGTCGAGTCCATCTAGGTAGTGGCTGTCATCCTTCTGCCGGCTCTGGGCTGTGGAGCCAATGGCCAGGACCATCCAAAAGAGCCAGTATTCTGGGGATGTGAACTGCCTCTGGCTTGTTCGATATATGTCTTCGAGAAGACCGTTGAAAATCCGTCGAGAGAAGGCCGGATAAAGCTGGTGGACGCTGCTCATGTAAAAGTCGACAATCTTTCGGGCCTTGTCATACGGCGGCAGTCCAACAGAACGGGACTGTGGCACGAATTTGTTGGTGGAAGCGGCCAGGATGATGGTGGCGAGAGATAGACGGGTCTTCTCGTGGTCTTCCTGGGATACGGGGTTAATCGTTCTGAATAAATCATGGATGATTAGGAACCGTTCGGCCAAGTTGACGCAGTGGGATCACGTACACTGAGCTCAGCGAGGCTATCACTTGCTCTATCTCTTGATCTCCATGCAGGCGTGCTGCCCTCCGAGCAACGTTGACCCTGATATTGTCAAGCGAATCCCGGCGATCTGGACCCCATTCGTCGTCGTTCCCATGGTCCAAAGGGCCGGGAGCAGTGGGGGGATCGGAACCAGGACCAGGCTGGGTCTGCGAGGCCATGTGCGACCGGGCGTAATGGAGCTGTTTCTCCAGCTTCTCAACCCTGGCCTCAAGAGCTCTCACATAATTCGGTTCCCTCCCTCGGATGAAGCGTTCACTGATGGGCATGCACTCGGATTCGCGGCCGAATTTGACGCATGAGGTACAGGCCGGGAGCTTTCCGTCACACTTGATCTTGGCACTTCGGCCTACATATCTCGGCTGTCAATGTTGGGCACAACTATACTTGATACTCGGGCTAGCTCACATCTTGTACACGCTGTGACTGGGCGCGATACTTTGAGCACGGGGTTGTCGAGAAGGTCTTCTTCAGTCGCATCTGAGTCTGAAGGGAGGTCCGCGTGGGCATCATCCCAGTTGAAAGACAGTGTTGACATTGGGAAATATTGAACAACGGCTCAGGCGTCGTGGATTGGCGAATATATATAAGATGTAGACGATTGGCAGCCAGCATTCAAGTTATATGCGGCAAGTGAAGTCAAGTGTGGATCGGCAACAGTGAGAAGAGATGGGACGAAGAGTGATGAAGTGGGATGAACTGGGGCCGCAGCTGCACTGTCATTTTACGCTTTAGTCAGCGTCTGTGTAGGTACCTCTCCAAGCTGAGGCTCTTGTACAAAATACTCATGCCTGGGGGTGGGGTAAGCGGGGGCCATTTAGGTTCTCTCTTATGCTCTTATCCGCTTCATTTGAGGTTCAACAAGCAGACACACAGACAGACAGAGTGTAATATGAGATCGCTTGTGGCATTATGGAATACTTGGACTAGTGAAAAAGGGGTATACAAGCAAACGATGAGATCACAAAAGGATCGTTTGAAGTTGACATAGGTATGTAATGCAATCCACCTAGGATGGCCATGTCCGCCATGCGTCCTCTGGCCAGTTTCGCATATGTGCCTGATATCCACTATTCAGCTCTCACAGACCCTCGTGAACAAAAGGCTGTCGGTTAGGCGCCAACGGTTTGCTCTTCCGAGTCCTTTTTTGTCAGGGGCACCTCAGCCTCCACAACCGTGTTTCAGCCAGACGCAGAGACCAGGGGGACGAGGACTGGTGAAGCTTTGGAAGCTTCCAAATACGATACATAGCAGTCCAAAATCGCATTTGATCCATGCCATGCGCGGGACCTGCCGCTGCGCATTCCTCGGCCTTCTTGTCTTTCAGTTGCTTCGTACCTGCGCGAGTACAGTCCGTCACGTGAGGCCTTGTTTCCACTGCTGGGATAAACAAGGGGAAAGGCCCGGGCCCCTTGACTCGGATCTTCAGGGTTTTGCATGTGTCTGTTCTTCCCTCCGTCCCCTGCCCCGCCCCACATGGCTTCAATCAAAAACTGGGGTACCGGGGTTATTGGGCATCAGAAGGGAAACGCCGGACTGATGATCCGGTCAATGGAATCCAAAAGGGGTTTGTTTGTACAACAATGGACGCGGTCTATTCCGCAGTCTATCATTATGCTCAAGTACTCTCGGGTTTTCTTCTCAATGACATAGGGCTACAAAGACACAAGGCTGCCAAATGTTGATTTTCTAACTACCTACCTGGTTACAGGTACCCAAATGAGCTGTCGGGTGTTTATCTCCACTTGCCAACCCGATTCTGTATACCTAGTGTACGTCTATGCATTGGGTGAGATAAGTGCGCCTATCGGGCCGGTAGAGAAATAGTGTAGGCGCCGCACGGAACTGAATGCTATTCTCACTCGGCCATCTCCAACGACCCGCAACCATCCCATCACCTATCCATGGAACGAATTGCCCTCTCTCGTCCCTCGGTCTGCCACGCCGGCCTCGCTGCACACTCCCGCCCGTCCACCACCACCCGACCCTTCTTCTCACGAGGTGACCGGGCATGTTACTCAGCCGAGGCGGTCCAGAATACGGGCCCCTAACTCACGTATCGTTGCCCTGTAACTGCCCGCCCCTGTTCGTACCCTAGCCGATCGAGGAACCCTGCCGCTGGCACAGCGTTCCCACCATGAATCTCCCCCACTTCACCAACCCACATCTTCCGCCCACATTCTACGCTAGCCCAGCGTTTGGACAGGCCTGAGGGGCCCAGCGTGTGTCACTTGCAAAGTCGCAGGGCAACCACCAAACAACCTAAACACTTTGACAAGCCGAGAGCCTCTTCACCAATTCAACTACTCTGCCCCTTCGATTCCCGTCTTCATCAGGCCCTCGAGAGTCGCTCATATACCTTATCCACCTTCCAGTCAACAACCACCTCCGAGGCGCCTCCCGCCCGTCCGCCATGCTCCACGTGCGCGCAGTGGGAATCTTGAGCTGTGGTACAACTTGAACCTGAACTGCCTCGACGACTTCAACCCCCGCCTGCTTGTCTCTACAACCTCACCCCCAGCCAGCAGCCAGCCAGCCCATGGATGCTGCCGAGATCGTCCGCCGGGCCCTGGGCTCTATCGCCGAACGAAGATCTTCACAGCAACACCTACACCCACAACCACAAGCCACGCCCTCATACTTCCCCTTTCCCACTCAACAACACGCCGCACCCAGACCGGCCGCCCCTCGCCCCCCACGCCGCGATGCCTCCAATCTGGGATACACGTTGACAGCCTGCTGCAGATGTCGTCAGGTACGTCTCTTCCCAGTCGTCATCGAGTCTGCCTTGCTCTAATCCGAGACTTCGATCCATCTAGCGGAAAACCAGATGCGGTACCTCCTTACCTCGATGCATGCCTTGCGAGCGAGCGGGCGCCGTTTGCGAATACTGGGACTCGACCTTGCAAAGAAAGGTCAGCCGTTCTTACGTTGTCAAGCTACGGGACAAGCTACGCCGCCTTACCGACGAACTTGCTCAGTTCAAGACCGATGAACCAGACCCACAGGATCGCCGACAGAGTCCCGATCTATCCAGCAGCCTGGTGCGGCCCAACGTGACCGATGAGATCTCTTACTGGTTTGGGCCCAGCAGTGGTGTCGGTCTACAGCGAACATTAATGGAAGAGGCTAAGCGCTACATGGAATCCGAGTCGTTTGCGAATTTGTTATCCGAGAGCGTTACCCGGCGAGTCGATAGGGCAAATCGTATGCAGAGCATTTCGACAGGGCGCAAGAAGAGCTACCCCTTGATCAGTGAGATTCCGGTTCAGCAACTGCCAAAGCGCGCCACAGCCGACAGACTTCTCGAGGTCTACATTCAGAGAGCACAGATATGGGCGCCAATCCTCCACGAAAAGATCCTTGAGGAAAACGTCAACGACGTGTACAGCGGCGACAAGGACCCCTACAAGAGGTTTGTGGTACACATGGTGTTTGCCATAGGTTTGCGCAAATTGTCGTCGCAGTTCGCCGGTCTCGCCGACAGTTTCTACATCGCCGCCACAGAGTACTTCTGGCAAGTCATACAGCCGCGAGACCTCAAATCGCTACAGTGCATCATTTTACTGGCTCAATACTACCTGTTGTGCCCCTACAAAGCACCTGGCTATTACATTGCCGGATTGGCGACCAAGCTTTGCCAGCAGCTTAACATTGTTGACGAACAAACCATTTCCTCAGGGGTTGATGAGCAGACACTCGATATGCGAAGGCGACTGGCTTGGGTGACGGTCAACAACGAATTGGGCTTGGCATACATCACCGGAAGGCCAAACGGCTTTTCCAAGAGTCATGATGCGATCAACCTCAAGTTCTTCGAAAGCCTCCCAGATGAGAATATCACCGCGAATGGCATCGAGTCCGGGCCCGCTTGTGTGAGAAAGCTGGTAGCTATCCACTTTTGCAAGATGACCCTCCTGCAAGCAGAGATACGACGAGTCTTGTATGAACAAACCATGCCCAATGTCAATAGTGAAGAACATTGCTGGGTTGCCAAGATGCAGAAAAAGCTGGAGGACTGGCGGGATTCTGCCCCTGAGAAGGCCGAGCCATGGTGCAAATCCTTGTTTGTTTCCCGCCCATTTGCATTGCTTTCTGTTTTATCGCTAACACTCAAGAATCCCTAGGTTTGCATTCTACTTCCACAACATGATGATTTCTCTATATCGCCCATCACCGCAAATACCAGACCCGTCTGCTACCGCCGCCGCCAAGTGCTATGACGCGTCCCGCGAAGTTATCGTGATTTCGAGCACACAAATCAAAGCATCGGCCGTCGACGTCACATATATTTTCCTATCGACTATCCACACAGCGTTGAGTACTCTGCTGTGGTCCGTTTCCTACGCCGAGGTTCGAGCCGACCACTCCGCAGATGAAGTCAAAGACATCACGGAGACTGCGCTGGAAATATTTGCCCAATGCTCCGAATTCTTGCCAGAACCACAAGCCGTTTCGGAATTTTACGACGTCTTGATCTCGGTCTCCCTACGCCGCTATCACATTAAGGAGGAACCCATCAGTCCTACGCCGGGTTTTCAGCACTTGCCGAACGCGAGTGGGTTTGGCCAGCCTGGCTTGCTTAACTCCAACATGTCCGATCCAGACATGTTTGCAACACCGCAAGCAACACAAACGCCCCAGGATAAGGAAACACCGATATTCCGGGCTCCTAGCTTCCGCTATGTCTTCGACGGCACTCCTGAGCCGGAGCCGCCAACAGATCTCCAAAACACACCATTCCGCCCTTCCCAACCCATGTTCCGCTCAAACTCGATTTTTGGAAGTCCCTCGACGGATCCAGGCCGAAGGCTCTCTCACTGGGCCCCTGAATCTACCACTTCTGTTAACCATAACGCCCCGGTAGACGCACAAGGGCCACCAACAGGACGTTTCGAACCATCGATATCACCCCCGACAGACCCCTCGACTCCGATTGCCATGCCGGGAGCATTCAACCCACCCACAACTCTTCCGCAAGCACCAGTACACGTCCCCGTCAACACTCTACCAATCACGACAGAGCCTCTCACCTCCTACCACCTCGCCCCTAGCCCAGTGATGCCCCTCCCGCAACACGCACCACCGCTAATACCGACAACAACGGCACAACAAGCCTGGTTCAACCCCCCGCCTCCTCTCCTCTCACCGCATACCTTCTCCTCAAGCAGAGGCAGCATCAGCATTTCCGGAACAGCCAATGACGTCATGCTCAACCCCGGTCTCGGCCTCTGGCTCACGCGGTTTAGCGACAATTACTCGCTCAACCGCGGTCCACCGCCTACTTCAAACGGGTGGGGACCTGCTTGGGCTAACGCCAACAACAATAATAGCAACAATAACCCCAACGGTTTGGGCGCTGGTGGTGGTCTAGGCATGGGATCACCCTGGGGAGCTCAGCCGCCCCCGCCTCATAGCGGTAGCATGGGAGGAGGGCTGCCGCCAAACAATAACAGCAACATGAACAACGTCTGGGCGACTCACTGGTCGGATCAGAGACAGGGAAGTCTAAGCCAGGAACAGCAGGATGAGTTGATGGATGTGTTGGAGACGGAGGGAATGGCGGAGATTGATATGTTTTTGAAGATGGAGACTTCGTGAGTTTTGAATTTGAGCGTGAGTGAGCCTATTGGTTTGACGGTGGGTTTTGGATAATACCTATCTTGGAACGAAGGGAGTTGGGCTTGAAGGGAGAAAGGGTAACGCGGACGGGGCGGCAAGATCTGATTTGGCTGGTTGGTTGGTGTATGGAGTCAGTTCTTTGGATATATTCGGTAGCTGGATGCAGGTAGCTGTGGTATTTGATACAATGAAGAGAATTTTGACAATCAGCTGATTCAGGGTGATTGACCAGCTTTTGAGAGTAAGATGAGCAGGTTTATGAAACAAACAAACAAAAAAAAAAAAAAAAAAAAAAAAAAAAAAAAAAAAAAAAAAAGGAATGCCAGGATATGCTCATATCCTAGCCTTATCACATTGACAGCTTATAAGTGCGCGAGGTCTGTTAGTGATACCACAGGCAACTAACAGTTGTACCAATTGTCGACGGATCGTCAGGGGCAGAAACAACTTAATGTAGAGAAGTAGGCACACGCTTCCACCCTCCACCCTTCCCCCCAAAACAAAGAGATAACTTGAATATGTAGAATAGTGTGCTGTTACATCTTCGCTACCTAGCTCTACACATTACTACATCCCATAACCAATGCCGCCGCCCAATAGTAGAAGAGCTACTCGCTCCCATTGTTCGATATAGGTGCCTCCAGGAGCATACTCACTTGGTCCACCAGAAGAAATAGAAAACCGATCGTGCCTCTGGTTCCTAAGCAGGAACTAGTACTACCTACGCATCAGCCGTACAACCCTCCCCAGAGGCTGCAACCCCAACTCCAGTCCCAAGCCCAACGGCAAACACAGGGCCAGCTCTATTCTTGGAAACCACCTTCTTCTTCTTCCTCCGAGCCGTTCCATCCCCTCCCGCACCCGTACTCAGCCCAGCATTAGGCGGTGCCTCCAACACCCAGCGCGCAATGGCCGAGGCTCGGTCCGTGGAGATGGGATACTCTTTGCCGTCGTCGACGGACCAACGGCGCATGTTTTGTGTCTGTGCTGGTTGGGTTTGGGCTTGAACTATTCCGCTGCCGTTGGCGGTGATGTTGTTGTTAGGAGGTTTGGTGACTCCGTTTGCGTTTGCCGTTGTCGTGCCGTTTGCGATACTTGAGGTGGTACGGGTTAGTAGTGCTGTTGAGGTTGAGCTTGAGCCGTTGGTGGGATGTGACGTAGGTTTGGATCCGTTGGTTGCGGTAGTGGTATCTTTTGGCGACGGTGGTGCCTCCAAAGCAAGAGACTCGAAATCACGACCTATGAGCTTGGCGTCCATGGCTGCCACGGCGTTATCAAGCCTGTAATCGTTTTCCGCACGCAGTTGACGGGCTTTGACGGCCATGCGAAAAGATGCTTCGTCTTTGATTCGATCATCGCCCAGGGCGTCGATGATGGCTTGGTGTTGGATACGTTCCTTGCGATGCTTCTCGACCTCGGCGCCGCCGGTGCTACCGTTGCTGGAGGTTGAACGCACGATGGCTCCTGCTTCTGCCGGACCCCCGGTCAGAGGTGGCAGAAGGGTTTTGTTTTGTCTGAGGGGGCCTGGCAACGCTATCGGTACTGATCCGCTGCCGCTGGGGCCTGAAGGCTGGAAAAGTGGGAGAGGTGCTGGGGCACAGAGGTCCTCCCATGTCCCGGCTAGCTGGATGAGGTTGCCGGACGCTCGGAGAACCTCTGTCCAGTCGGCGCGGGCTGGTGAGCGACTAGCTTGGAAGATTGGGTAACCATCGGCAAGGCGCGCCAGTCGTGCTACCATGTAGGCGTGTCGAAGGAGCTCTTTGGTTGAGGTCTGGATAAGACAGTGACAGAGCAGAAGAGCGTGTAATGCGTCGTTCATGAGAGGATGATAAGTGAGAGTCTCTGTTGTTGTCTGGAAGGTAGCGAATGTGGGCTGTTGTTGCTGCGTACGTACTGGGGTAAGCTCCGTGCTAGGATATGGAGGCAGGTCAGCCGGGGGGGACGCCGCGAAAAGGTCCGAGAGAGCATAAATGCGGTGAGTAGGTTGGCTCTCGTCAGTTTCACCGGTCACGGGAGAGTCAGAACGAGAAGCATGGGAGAATGACCGAGGGACACGAACCCCATTAGCGGCGTAGTTGACTTTCCGGGCAAAGTCTTCGGCAATCTCAATGGGTAGGTCAGGCGAATACTCAAAGTGCGACAGATAGTTCATGTAGTCTTTCAGCGCACGCTTGGCGTTGTGACGGACGAGTTTCCTCGCCTCCATCATCTTTTTCTCGGCCTCTTGCTCGGCAGTTGTTAACATGGGTATGGCCTGTGCTGTCACCTGTGAGCCGGTCTTATTGCCTTCCTCATATATATCACCATTCGCAGCTTTTCCTGTAGCAGATTTGGTTTCGGCAGGTTTAGAGGGGAAGGCAGCTTGGACGTGCTGACAGGCAATGGTCAGATAGACACCAGCGCGTTGGAACAACAGCTGAATTTCCAAGCTATTAGGCTGCTCCTCCTCCTTGAGCACCACATCCTCCTGTTTCCGTCCGCTAGGTCGGGCTTGAGGATGATTGTGGTGCTTTGGAGCATTTTGTGGTAACCGGTAAACCCGATGTATCCTGAGGGCTTCTGTCAAGTCCGCAATGGCGCCCTCAAAGTCCTCCTTGAAAGTCCTCACAGTGGCGCGAGTCCTTAGAGGCTCTCCCTGGGTGGATTTCTCTGTTATGATTTCACTCAGGGCATCCAGGTTGGTGCACTGGGCCAGCTGCCTGCTCGGTATTTTCTCGTGGAAGAAGTGTACATATTTGGCGTCGGCATCCTGGGGGTTGCGCTGGAGCACAAGCGAGGCCACCTCCTCAAGGGGAGAGGCGCTTTGCATTGTAGCCACACTCGACGCTATTTCATCTAGGTGATAGGCTTTGGAAAGCTTCTGAGTCGCCTGTTCTCTCATTCGGTGTTTTCTTTCTCGACTGAGCTTCGTTTGCCCTCCAGGTCCAAACAGTCCCAGCGCATGATGGTGGCCACCGGACATGCTGTGCTGGGAGACCGTTGCGACACCACTGGCGGCACGAACAGCCAGATTCGTAGCATCGTCGACGAGGCGGCGGATCTTGACAAGATCAAAGAAGACGGACGGATCGATGGGCCGCGGCCGTGGGGTATTATAGTTCAAGTTGGCCAGAGTCTCGAGGATCTCAGGAGGGAGCTGAAGCCATGGGCCGTGAAAGGACGAGATATAGCGCCAATGCCTGGTTAATACCAAGGACGAAAGTCAGTCTATGGTTCAAGTGCTCGCTGGGCGCATATGGAGAAGGTCAAAGGAAGGAGGTCAAGAGCGCAAGACATGGACTTGAAGAAGATCAAGGACGGGCAAAGATGGCTCTTCCTTGGGCCAATTGGCAGTGCTATGGGTCGCGGAGGGGAACGGCGCACTTATTCCGACAGATGATGAGTGCCGGCACCGGAGGCGGTTGCTGTTGTGGCTGGGCCTTGGTCTTTGCCGTCTTGTTGCTTCCACTTCCACTTCCACTTCCACTTCCACTTCGACTTGAGGGATCTTGGGTCGCGGGGACAGCAGGCGACTGTACCTCACTGGCGTTGTCCTCGACTGAGGTAGACTTTTTCTTTTTGGCCATCTTACCGATCAATTGGCCGGTATTTGCGACTAACTGTGGGGAGGTTGTGGTTGTGGTTGTGGTGCCGTGGGCGATGCGATGACCGTGGGAGGGGGGCGAGGTCGCGATGGTCTCAAAGGTCCGGTCGGGGGGGCACCGAGACTTGAGGATGGGAATAATGGAAAGCCTCGTCAGACGGCGACGCGAGTCCTGTGGTCTTATTCAGCGTAATCGGCGGTCGTCATGGAGATAGAAGGCTGGTGGCCGGCCAGTGTTGTTGTTCGAGGTTTCGTTGGTCTCGATTCTCGAATTCGACTTCCATTTCCCTCCCGCGGCAGTTGCGTTTGACGTCAAACCAAACTGTTAGTGCATGCGCCTGTGGTTTGCCAAGTGGGGGGCTTGTAGGGCTGCTTAGGGGTATTGCTGCACCATTGGGGAAGGCACAGCAGCGCTGGAAGCTGGACCCCAGGCGCCAAGCAGGTTCCCTTATCGAACCCCAGATAAGCTTGGACCCTACCTAGACTAGAATACCTCTTCTCACTTTCACCTTACCGGACCGAATTTCCATTTCCTTGCTTCAACATCTTCAGATGTCAATTCGACTGATCTCGTATTCAGTCCCATTACATACTACCTACACACCACCTTAACTTCACATTCACTTCCCAGGATGCAACTGCCATAAACCGCTGATCGTTCTAATTATCAAGTAACTCTTCACCTTCAACCCCAACTCTCGAGCCTTACCGAGACATCTGTTCTCCCTGAAGAGGTACTCGTTGCCGTTCGAAGCATCCCTCAGCCAGCCGAAAGCTACTCAAAACGCCCATCTGCAAATCTGGCCAAGATGAACGGAGGAGTCAGTAATGATCTCACTATCACAAAACGAATTACCTTGATCGGACCACTTACCTGAAGTCAACTCATCCGATAAATGACGAAACATCGGGAGACGGAGCCGGCGCCGTCATGACCACCGTGGACCCCTCCGCCCTCGGAAGTACAATTGTTCCCTTTCCTTGCCCAACGAGACATGCACATGCCCTCCGTATTTGATCTTCCGGTCGGCCCCGCCATGCTTGAGGACAGTGTTCCATCACGGGCGGCGCTCTTGCTACCACCCTTCGTCGTCGACCCAGCCGGGGAAGAGCTCCGCTGGCTCTGGCTGTCATCGCTGCCGGTGTCCCATCGTTGTCATTCATGAACTTCGCTAGGGTATTGGTTACCGTCGTGGTCGGAATCATGGTCCTAGTAATCGTTCCGGTGACGGTTGTGGTGACTGTTATTGTGGTCATATCCGGTTTGCTGTCGTCGCTGTCCTCGTTATCTCCCTCGTATATATTGTGGCCTCCAAGGCGCACCTTCGGAGGTTCAACTATCGGGTTTGGTGAGACTGCTGGTGGGGGAGTCACTGTAGTGACTCGAGATGTGGCTTGGGGAATCTGAACGGGTCGCACAACTGCTGAACCTGCAAAGTAAGACGAGCAAAAGAACTCGGCCAGCTTCCGGTTTGTGTCGGGTTTGTCGACTGGCTCGAGCAGTTGCAGGAGGGCATTATCCTCGCACATGTCTTGATGATGGATGCTTCTCTCATGGCAAGTGCGTGAAGGGGCTGAGAGGACTGAGTGAACGAGAAGCAAGAGGCTCCAAGGGAGAAAATGCGTCAGGTTCATGGTGGTGAAGAGACTTGTTGGCTGTGCTTTGGTAAATCCGCTAACCTCTCACCTCACCTCGCCCGATCATGGGCATACAATTTATAAATGGCTGGCGGTCCATTCGAAAGCTGTCGGTGACATGTGCGAGTGCGCCGAGGTTGCAAATATCGTGGCTGGGAGTTGGAGTTGGAATGCTGACCTCCCTCCTGCCATCTAGTGTCTCTTTACTCCCCACATTCCGCGGTGCTAATGCGAGCACCTAGGCATTGGAACGAAACCCAAGTTCTCTGTGGCATTGACAATTAATTCCAATGCCTTCTCTCCCTGCTTCTAGAACATTGATATGAAACGACGCTATAAGCTCGCATACACACTTTCCAGCCTCTGCACATGTCTTAAACAGCAAGACTCACAACCTGCTTGCCCACGCCGTCCACAACATCATGTATTCTTGCTCTATCTTCTTTGACTGCCCTCCAATGTCTCGCAACTGCCAACACCACCCTCAGACCCGCCGCAGGTTTGAAGCCGGGTGCCACAGTCGGCCATATGGCCAAGGAATGTATCGAGTCTTCTTCACCAATAAGTTCACTTCGATACTCGTCAGGTCTATAAAATTAACCCGTTAACTAGTCACACCTATGAACCATTAGCGAGCCGAGCATCAAGCGCTATACGTCGATCAGTCATCGGCTGCTTCGTGTGTTATCAATTTCCATTGATCGTTCCATCGAAGCACAGAGTTGCCAAGTGACCAATATGTCAAGCAAACTTGATAAAGGACGACCATTGTCATCTTTGAGATACAACATAAGAGGAAGTCCCGTTTTCCAAGCACAGTTCAACATCTATGTCACAACTGGGAAACGAAAAAGCCTCTAGGGGTATCACACAATTTATATATTACAGCCGATCAGTCGCCCGTCTACCAGCAGTAGCCTGGTACCGACATTCACACAGCCATCAAGCCTACAGACAAACTTAGTGCCAGAACTCGAAGCCGGTGCGGTTGTCAAAGATCAAGTTCAACCAGCCCGCCAGTCTGATGCCGCCCTTGATAATGCTGCGCTCAACGACCTCGGTAGCGCCCTTGTAGTAATCACCGCCAATCTCGGTACCGTTCAGCTGATTGCCGGGAACCTTCATGACGTAGTGGCAGACCTCCTCATTGCCATCTTGGGCCCAAGCGGCAGCCGCGCGCTCGGAAGCCTTCCTTGTGGCGACCGAGTGGTAACGCAACCACCTGCGGACGTCCTTGCGGTACTGGCCCTGGTTGATCTTGGCGGCGAGGTTGTTGGCCCACCCCAAAAAGTCGGCGCTGGTGATGTTGGCGGCGCTGGTCGGAGGGGAAATGCCGAGCATGGCGTTGGGGATTGAGGTGTCCCAGGCGGCGTGCAAGTTGGTCTTGTAACCCTGGAAGGTGACGGTGATGTTGTTGGCTCCCTCGCCGAAGCCTTCGGTGTGCAGAGGCTGGGCAATATCACCCAAAAAGTGGACGATGAACTTGAGAGCCTGCGCCTTTTGGTCGGCAGTGATGTTCTTCATCTGCACACGCTCGGTCTACAAAACATGCCCTGGTTAGTCAATCTGCCTTTTACTCCACACCATGGCATGATTTGAGGTCAACTAACGTAGTTTCCGATAGCGGAAACGACACAGCCCTCAGGAGGGCAGTCCTCCGGGAGGACAAGGTGGCAGCTCTCCGGGGGAGGGGCGTCATGGCCGTTCACGAAATGAAGACCGGCGGACCACGCATTGGCCGCCGACTCATAGCGGAAAGAGTCAGCCCACGACGCAATGTTGCCCATATAACTGGTCGAGTTGTCGCCCAAGATGGTCTGGACCTGCTTCACGGTGTTGGGGGTGAGATACTGCTGAGCAACAGACGCGACGGTGGCATGGCCGAGCTTGCCCCAGGCGCTGACGGTGGCGGCCTGGAGGAGGACGACGGGGAGGACAACAGAGGTCTTCATGGTGATGGGCGTTCAGGCTGCTGAGGAACAAGAAGAGACTCGGAAACCGTGAGCAGCAGGAAAGCCAGCAATTGCTGGTCCACGGCGCCGGCTACCATTTTTAAAGTCAGCCCTTCTACACGCGTATTGTAGAAGCGAGCCATCGATATCTGCCGATGCGGTGGCTTGGTGGCAAGCTAGTCGGAGTTGTGTCCATGATAGCACTAGGGTTTGCGGGTTGTGGGGTTGATGGACGTCAATAACCCGGATGTCGGATCCCCAAAAAGGCAGCTGCAAAGAAGGCTTGCAATCGGCGCCGATCATTTCAGGTCCCGATGTTATGGACCGCGAGCACGGCACATGCTGCTCGACGCGACAAAGGTGGTGATGCATACAGTTCTGACAGGTACTTGTAAGGTGATATACCTACCTAGGTAGCCTTGAAGAGGATGCAAAGGACAGAAGGCCGGACGAGAAGAGGCACCTAGAGGAGGACGGACACTGGCTACCTGTAGGCATTGTGAGTACTGTACCCGATGCCCACGTGCGGGTTACACTATCCTTGATTGGCAGGTGCACTAACATCACCCTTGTAGTGTATTTCGACGCTATCGTGGCTATCTGCTCCGACTTTCGCAGTACTACACCTCTGCTTGGATTTGAAATGTTAGCGCGGTGAATTCGCCGATTAGTAGGGGTGGTAAGGCCTGGCCGATTAGGGTATTACAATGTTACTCTTCTAGTAGTTTCTATAGGAAAATACCTAAATTCTGGAAATTGGACTTTTGGGAGCCGGGGGAAGCATTTCCTCATTACTACTTTTTCCACTATAATAACGGTTACCGTCCCTCGAAGCATCGCCATTCCTAACCTTCTAAATCCAACTACCTTAATACTAAAAAAGACGGGATTACGGCATTTAATAAGGGATAAACGGTTTTAAATCCGGGCACTTCGCGACTACGCTAATTTGAATTATGCCGACATTACTAAAAAGATGGGGTTTACTATACAGCAAGTCCAACTTACTTATATTAGCCCTATTACTCTCTAAAAGCGAAAAAAATAAGGTCTTTTAAAGATTCCTAAGAAAAATAAATTTAAGGAATAGATAAAAGAGGAGTACTCTCGGAGATTTATCTCCTAGTGTGACTTACCTTTCTACCTTCTTCCCTACCTTATTACTGGCCCCGAAGTTCTAAGGAAAATACTTTACTCTCTTAACTTTTATTAAAAACTAAGAATTAAAAGAATAAAAAGAAATACTACTAATAAAAGAGAAAGAGTTCAATAGTACTAAGAAATAAGAAGGCTTCGCCCTCGTCCGGAAGATTAGGAGGATATCCTTAGTTCTAATAAGACATAGGCAATTAATAATCTAATGTAGAAACAATGGGTGATTTTGGACGAGGATAACAATCTAAATAACTTTACTTTTACTAAGAGAAAACTTTATAGTTGGATGTTTTAGGGATCCTTTACTGGAAGAAGAAAAGGGCTTTATTTCTTTTAGGAAAAGGAGTTTGGAGGAATTACTATTTAAAAGTATATTTTTTTTATCCTTCCGATAGTAGTAGCCTTTTGCCGAGAAAATGGCCTTGTCTTTTAGTACGATAATACTCCTTCTTATTAGGTAAAAGAGATTCAGAGAGTATTGGAGTTAATAGGAATCCCTAGGCTTAGCTAGAAACAATTTCTAACTTACTCTCCGGATTTAACACCAATCGAAAACGTTTAGCATTGGATAAAGTCACTTATGGAATATAAATACGATATTCAAACTCTTAACTTATTACAATTTAGAGCGGCTATTCAAGAAGCTTGGGATATAGTCCTAGAGGATTTCCTTCTAAAGTTGGCCTATTCAATGCTGGAAAGAATAGAAAAGATTATTGAGGCAAATGGAGATAGTATTGATTATTAGATAAAAAGATAGATAAGAAGATAGGGTACAATAAAAGGAAGGTTTTTCTATATAAAAGCCTTGGTTTATTGTAGCCTTAGCGGCTTGGCTGGCGGCTTGGCTAGTGGCTTGGCTGTACCATTTTAACCTTTCAAATCCAAGCAGAGGTGTATTTGACCTCTTCACAATCTATCACCGTCATCAATCATGTCCTAGGATCCGTGGCACGAATACCAGTGGCTCGTTGGCTGGGTTTGTAGTATGCTATCGTTAAACACTGACTGATCATAACCTTCTGAAGCTATTCCCTTGGCCCCGGACGTCCTGCGGCACACTTTATCACCTCAGGGTATGATAAATTTCTGCGCCGGTCACACAAGACCTTGTCCCGCATGAAGCTTGGGGTTGTTATCTCGGAAAACCCCAACAGCTCGCAAACACGAATACAAAAGTCGAAACTTCCAAACCTCATAACTATCACAGCACGGCAAGAACGGTAGCCATCATATTCACGCTCACCGTCTTCCAAATAATACTCTCGACTCGTCCAGAAAAGTTTGAGTCCCAGGCTGCTAGGTGGATAGCGCCAAGTAACAACTGCCGATAATCGTACAGATAAGACAAACTTCAATCTGCCGATGACGGCCCCGGCTGGATGCCCCCAAAGCCCGGAGAGTGGAGTTTTACGGCTCGCTCCCGCAAGGAAACAGACCATAGGTAACCTCAGCCCCCTCCGGCGCAACTCTATCCCCGTTTGAGCTTCAACACTTGTCAGACCTCACAACCACCCACACTCCATCCGTCATTCATCTTGACCTTTCCGCCCGAGAAGTAGAGCGCTGGAACTTGAGGACGGCTTATATCATTGCACCAATACACAGCAGTACCATGACTGCACGCAATCCTCCCACGAGCGTGCGGTCGAGGTCCGTTAACGGGTTTCCTTTCGACACCACTCAACTAGTGGAAGTCACCCGCAACACCCGCCGGGACATTCCGTTGCTCGTTTATTGCCCGGTCTGAGGAACAGTGATATTTCCTGTGCTGACGGTGCATATATCTGTCATAGAGGGTTATGGGCGGCAGGGCGATGGCATCAACGGCCTGAGATACCGGGATGAGTCCATGAACTAGGAAGCGTGATTCTAGGGAAACGAAAGTTGTAACTTATTGGAAGGGAAGAGAAAAGGACCAGCCCGGTGAAGGATATTAGACAAAAGCATTGTTACTACTTGCTACCAAGGTAGTACTACGAATTGGATTTGCAAATGACTGGGCGGGTGGTGAATGGACACATCCCAACATGTTCACGGAGCCTTGGTCAACTCACGTTTTTACCAAGTGTCGTAACTTGTACAAATTACCTGCTGACACAACGCACCCAAGACCCAAATGCGGATTTGTGGTGCAAGATCCATGTTTTTCATGTTGGACGGACATCAGTTGATCCTACAAGCGCACCAACGGACTAACATGATTTACCCTCGCTTCGATGACAGTACGTACCTAGGTAGTAATAGCCTGGAACCCAAGTTCGGGTTTCCTTTCAACACGTATCTGGAATAATCGAGATGTTCGTGCTCCTTGCTTCCATCTGTGTGAGCTGATCTGGGATATATTACTTCCTTCTTTGACTCCAAATTACGCGGCTAGAAGGCAGGAAGAAGCACTCGACTCATTGATTTGGGAAGGCAAGAAGGGTCAAGAAACTGTTCTTAGCAAATGCGAAGCGCCTTCTTGTCAAACTCCTTACTTGCCACCAACATTTGTAATGGAGCGTTTCCATTGGTGGCTGGACGGGATGCGATTTTACCGGGGTTGCCTCAACTTTGCATTGTTGGTTCTCAGACTGGGTTTCTAACGGTCCTTTGGAGACGGGCGATGTGATGAATGTCAGTTTATGTTCCCACGGCTTGTTGTTGCGTTGGTCAAATTCCACTTCCATACCGTATAGACTCGGGGCGTTGATTTTTAACTTCCAGGAAAATCAGGCATAAACAGTTAGCACACTGCAACATTCATGCCCACCAAAAATTCTATGCAAGATGGTGATTTGAACGTCTCCACCATCCAGCGCCCTTGAAAAGACAGTTGTGGAAAGGCAGGATTTGGAAGAATCGAGTTTACAGTGATCCGGGATGGCAGCACGTCTCCCCCACTTAATTTGATGGGCATGAAATGCACATAATCGGGCAGTATCCTTACAGATTATGTTTGATTTCCCTGGAAGTTGAAAATCAACTCCCCGAGTATATACGGTATACCTGTCTGAAATGTCCCTCACCCGTAGTTGCTTCTAGCAGCGTGGCACACAGGACAAGCCATATCAAGGCCAACCAAGTCAAGGTCAAGGCAATTTGGGACTTTGAATTGTTTTGTTAACTTGCATGTTGCATGGTCCTGCTTTTCTTTTCCTTGTTAGATACACCTTCTAGCATATTGAGTGTGCATTTGTGGTGCAGTAATCCGGGCGCCCGGGTGAAAATCTAGGTATGTGCAAAGATTTATGCAAGTCAACAAGGCAATATAAGTCAGGAATCTGTCCTGTTTTGACTTGGCTTCAGTTGTGTGCTTCGCTGGCTTCTAGTAGGTAGTGGTTTAAAAGGACCACCATGCCCATGTTGCCCTTTCTCTCCAGCGACGACGCAAACTCGGAGGCCTACTTCTCTCAGACAAGTGCAACTCCCAATCTAGTCCTATTCCACGATGTTCATTGCACGAGCTCTCTTGAGCCTGGCCCTTGCGGTCTCCTTCCCGGTGAGTCCTGCAACCCGCTATCTTTGCTCAGAGCACACACCCACTAACAACTTCTCCTCACTACTCAACAGCCGACCATCGCCGCCCAATTCACCACCTCCTTACTAACTCCCAACACCAAAACTACGATCCAACTTCGTAATCAGGACGGCACCGCATCCGCACTTCCATCCTCATCCAAAACCTTCCAGTCCACCACCGACATCGTCGTCGCTCGCAACGTGGAAGACTCCGACGACTTATTTCCCACCTGGATCGGGAAAGCCTGCCCCGGCGCCCAGAAATACAATCTCGAGGTTCCAGAGGATTGGGCCTGGGGCAGGGCCTTCGAGGCCAAAGTGAACATTTGGTACCTCGAAGGGTTGCCGGGAAAGCCGAAGAATGGGAACGGACCGAGGACTTGTGGACGAGTGGCCTGTAGAGGCGATACGGCTATTTATTGGTGCAATAATGATGTGAGTCTCTTATCTTCCCTCCGCCCCCCCCCCCCCCCCCTGCCTCTTGTTTTTTTTTTTTTTTCTCTCTTTTTTTCTGGATAGTGGAGGGGGAATCATAAAAGTCAAGTAGCTAATAATCATGGGGCCTGGGCTCGGGCCCCCACTCATAAAAACTAGCCGGGACAGGAAAGAGAACTTCCCGAATGGAGCTGGATTGCGCAGGGGGCAAATGCGATCTGGCGAGATGCACGCTGTTGGAGGGATCCTAATATCTTTGGGAATGAGCGCGAAGGGAGGATTAGAGGAGAGATCTATAGTGACCAGACTTGGAGCGTTTTCATTAGGGGGGAGGACTGTTTGAAGCCTGGAAAGACGAGTTGAATGGGGAAAATTGTGGAGGGACAGAGTGAGGCGTATTTATAAGGGTATAAAGGACTGAGAAGGAACAGACGTGGCAGTTGGGAAATGGGAACCCATGTTATGGGTGGGGTGTGGTGAAGAGGTGATGCCGCCTTGGGAACAATGTCTGAGGAGAGACGGTGGTCTGGAATTGGGTGTTTTGTATTGAGTTCCCACTGCGTACCCATCTGTCCTCCCAGATGATTTTCAATTCTGTTCGCATGGCTAAGGTGTTTGTGCAGAGGTAACTGTTGGTGAAGAAGACTTGTTTGCCCATGTTCACATGAAATTGAGTACAAGTAGACACTTTCGTTTGCTTGTTGGCTTCCGTGTTTCAGTGTATGGTGGAACAGGTTCGGAAGCTCCGTGATATTACCAGCCCAGTGCCACTCGTAAAAGTGTTATCAGAGTGATGAAAATCTTCCGTTGGCTTCCGTTAGAAGATGTATTTAATGATTCATCATCGACACCAAGCCGAGTCACTTTTCCTTTTGATAATATGGTTCGTGGTGGCAGTTAAAAGGCCTATAATCGCCAGTGAATCTCACAGTTTTCCCTGTACATTCGAGTCAGCGCGACCAAACCAGTTTTGAACCGACAACTCACCTCCCCAATACAATATCAAGCTCTTCAACTCTCACAGCCATGCCTTCGCCTAGCGCCATCCTCCGACTGGCTTGTTTTGCCTTTCTCCCAGTTCGTCTTTCTCCGTGCCTCATTGTCTCCATTGATCTCTTTAGCCTTTGATCACGGGTCTAATGACACATCTCCTCCGCACAGCTTGCCGTCCTTGGCCGCACTGTCAGACCTTATATGCTGCCAAGGGACGCCAACACTATCTCTGATGGATTGATCCACCCCAAGCAATTGGCATTCAGCGTCAATTGCTTGTTTTCCGGTCACGACTATGGCCATGGCAACGGTGTGCTGGAGGGATTTCATTACCTCATGAGTCGGGGCGGGATGCCGGGGAACGATCCTGGTACTTGCGGCCGGATTAGCTGCTCTCACGACACTGGAATCCATTGGTGTAATGAAGTGAGTTGTGGCCTTGTTTTCATTTTTCTTTTTTTTTTTTCTTTTTTTGTTTTTTTCCTTGGTGCTAATCAACGACGATTTGAACAGGACAAGACCAAGCGCAAAGAACTTGAATCCTACCAAGTAATTGCGCGTGCTGTCATGGAGATCTTCCAACGAAAGCCCTGTTGGCAGAACTTCGACGATGATAACTTTATGGGTGCCGGGATTAAGGGGAAGGCTTTGGTCGATGGTGAAGACTGGAGTGTTTGGGTGGCCCGCGAAGACTGTTCCGCGGCGCCGGTGTGAGAGAAGATGCGGTCGCAGAGAAAGGGAACTAATGTGATGGCGGCTGCAGAGGTGCGTGTGTGCCGAGGGTGGCGGCGATGCTAAAATTGCCATCCGAAGGGAAATCAAAGAGGATTAAGTTTGGGAGTAGCGTTCATTAAGAGGAATATGGCGAGAAATTGTTTGCCCCGGGAGAGAGCATCGTGGTGAAAACCTGAAGTGTTCTTGTACAAAGACACGCATACTGGTGTTCAAGGAGCGTCGCACGTTCATGTTACCTTCGTTGAATGCCCGGTAAGGAGATGTAATTTTGAGACCCACAATTAGCCGGTGCCACGGATACGGCAACTTGAAGAGAGAAAGAGTCACTGGTCTTATATCACCCGCAATTGCTTCATGGTCTAGGTTGGTTACAGTTCACAACTGACTAGAAGACGCTGAATTCATTCACGTGTCTTTCCTCATTGTGGATGTTCCTGTTGTCTCGACACTCCCGAGTGGACCATGATGGTTGCGATTGGGGATACCACGTGATTCGAGAAGCATGGGACTCCCATATTGCCTGCCGGTCGCCAAATCCGAAACAAGATAACATCCATCATGTTCGGGTGTCGGCCAACCTCCACTTTCTTTCATCCGCGCAACATGGCGCCCACCATCGTAATGGTGATTCACTTGTGGGAACCATGATCTATTATCACTGAATGCGGATTCAGCGTTTAAGGCGATAAAGTCCTCGACTGGCAGATGTCGAGAATTGACAACATGATGGTCGGCTTTCCCGCTTGACACTTGTACCAAGTCTGAGGGTGTTGTGGAAACATGATTTCGCGTCTTCGACTTCGTTTTCTACAGGTTCGACGACCCATGGTCGAACCACCTTCGGAGCTCGATTCTCGGCGCCTTCAACCATATGGACTGCGACTACACCTACTTCACGTCCTCTGTGGCCCGCTCGCGAGATCTTTCTACGATACCAAGACTCCGGACGTTGGCAATAAGCAGTGAAGCTGAGCCAGGTTGAAGCTATTGCGGCGGAAATCATCACGCCTGCTAACAGCGCCGATTCTTGCGGTGTTATTTTAGCGTTATCAAGGCAGAAGAGAATGACGTAAGCTCGGATAACCATGCTGACAATCGAACTAGATTTGCCCGCGTGATCAAGGGTCTAGAAAAAAGACTGAGAGATCAAGTCCCACAGTACATGGCGCCTAAGAACATAGGTATACCCACGTCGACAAGGTGCCGATGACCACGACCATCCAGACCGACCGACGCGTTCTGAAGTGGATAGGTAGCAGGTACACGTTATCGGAGCTGGCTGCTATGCCGTCGCAAGGCACAGAGAATGATGATTCGGCAGACCTTCTGAAAACCCAGATGGTTCCATTCTTGGATGATGGGCTCACTGCCGACCACATCCAGGACGTGATCCCCGCCACAGACTTCCAAGCGCTTTCCATCTCGGAAAACCTGCAAGATCCTCCCGGAGGATATCACCACTGGACCCTGGATCTCGCCGCCGATGTGGACTTTGCAAGGCTCGAGCAGGCATGTAGAGATCTAGCCAATCACTTCGATATTCTCCGCAGTGTCTTCATCCCAGTAGCAACAAAGGATAACGGGAAGTTCTGGCAAGTTATCCTGCGCGAACACACACCAGCGTGCAACACCATCGATGTCGGCGACACAAAGGACCTCCCACAAGTTTTGAATGCGGTCTGTGCCGAAGATCTCGCCCGACCTCGTAGGCTCGGTCGCTTCTTCATCCGCTTCATCGCCATCAAACACATGTCCTCCTCCGGCTCTCACAAGCTCATCTTCCGCATTTCCCACGCCTACGTCGACGGCTTCAGCTGGTCGCAAATCCTCCATGCCCTCTCATCTTTCTACCTCAACGTCGAGCCGAAGTCAGTTATCCCAATCCCATCAGCCACCCCTTCCTTCGCAGACTACATCGCCTTCCGCGAGTCGCGCAAGCAGGAAAGCCTACCCTACTGGTCCAACCGCCTCCAAGGCTGGAGCTACCCTTCTAATTTGTGCCGCCGGAGGAAGGGCATCACTCGGTCCATCAACAATCGTCTTTCCCTTTGCCACACCATTTCCCTCCCTTCTTCTATCTCGCCAAATGATGGAGATGATGAAATCTCACCAGCAACCCACTTCTACGCCTCCTTCGCCTTTGCGCTCTCCCGGTTTTTCGGCGCACGCAAACTCCTCTTCGGCCGCCTCGTGACCGGCCGATGTGCGCTTCCCGCGGCACTACAAAACGTGGTCGGACCTACCATGACGGAACTCCCCGTCTGCGTCTTTGTCTCGGGTCACGACACCTTGAGTAGCGTCGCTAAGCGGCTGAAGGAGCAATTCATTGAGGACTCGAACTACGAAGCGGCGGGAATGAGGGAGATTATTACAGGCGCTACAGACTGGGACTGGGAAGGGGTAGAAGGGGAGAAGGAAAAGGATTTTGGGTGGAGGACTGCTTATCAGCAGGAGAATGAAACCGGCAGTAGTAGTGATGAGGAGGAAGGGGATGGGTTTGGGTTATTCGAGAAGGGTAGAGTAGGGTTCTATGAGGAGATGCCGGCTAGAGAGAGACCAGAGGTATATGCCACGCCAGATAGAAAGAGTGGGATGTTAGTTTTAGGGTTTGAGGGTAGTAAGGAGTGGGCGAGGGGGATAGGGATTGGAAAAGAAGGAGTGAGAAGGTTTTTGGAGGTTTTGGGATGTGTTTTGGGTGGTGATTTGGGTCCTCACGTGAGGTAAGTAGTGAATTAGGCTGGATGGAGGAAAGTGTATATCGGGTCGAAATTGTCTTTTGGTTTTTCGCAAAAACATTTTGTTGGGTTCTTTTGTTACTTCCTGACTAGCTTTCTTGCTTTGATTTTGTTTTGGTAGAAAGCAGGCGCGGGACTTGACAATGGTCCAGATGCGGGTATCGCCAAAACAAGAGGGAAAAAAAAGAATAAATTGATAGAAAAATAAAAAATAAAAAATTGATTTAAAAATAAAAAAAAAATTTATTAAGAAAAAAATTAAAAAGAAATAAAAATAAAAGAGACAAAGAGAGAGAAAGAAGAGAAAGGACAGAGAGGCTTGAGTCTACAGTACAGCATTCGTGGATGGTACGCAGCAGACGAACCGGCAGACACAATGAATATCCAGCACGTGGATAAGGTTAGTAACATCGTGAACCTCGACATCCCGCGCATGCAAGTCGACCGATATGACGCGCAAAGCACACCCAACGCTCCACAAAGATTCTCCTTTCATAAATCGGCCATGGTCAATCCGATTCCGCAAAAGGAAGGTCGAAATTTGCTTTATAGTCATAGATTAGTATATCCCCATCGGATGCCTGTGCCGGTTGAAAATGTTGCTATGTAATCCAGAAACCCAAGCCCTTCCAAGCACGTTGACAAACAAGCAAGTGCGAGACGTTCAACGGTCTACACGAAATTACTAAACCCTGTCAACATACCATCACGCTATCACAACTACTAAAGGTTCCGAATGGAACGTAGAACATGGACCGTAAAGCCGTGGTGGACTCCAGCGAGGGACGTATAAGGTGATGATCATGAACTGCAGCTCCCTCCAAAATTACCGAGGTTCACCGATCTTGGTTTTATAAATCGACAAAAGTTGACACGCATCCGGATCGTACGAAATACCGAACCGTTCTCGTAGAAAAAGAAAAGAGCAATCATACCTATCCCGAAGCTGCACAAGCCCCTGTTGTTCCCTTCGCTTCCAGTTTTTGTGTGGTGGTGATAGTTAAGCTCTTAACGTACCTTACACTCCAAGATCGCTACTGATCTAATCAGTCCCCTGCCAAACCGTTTAGCGCTAACTATTCCGCCAATCATCTTACACGGATTTGCCTTGAATCGGCACAACTGCTGTCGAATGGCCAACCACGTGCGGAGGTGTTTGGCTGTAGTGTACACTACACCACCATAGGTTCGCCAACCACCCTTCAACGATCGATTTAACCGATGTGACGGGATGTGGTACCATGGAGTAAGTGGTTCGAGAGTTGTTCGCTGCTACGACTGCGACGCTGCCATTGACCCCTGGCCCTTGGCCTTGACCCCTGAAGCTGTTTCGGAGAGCTCACGCTCGAGAGTGGGTGGATGATAGTGTGATGCTACTATTGCCAGGTACGAAACGCGCATCATATCCAGTAGAAGCGAGGGGACGGGACAAATGCAGGCAATGATAAACTGGAGAGCCCCCTTCGTCTTGATCGTTCTGGTCCGGATCTCTGTGTTTCTTCCTGGACGTGGGTAGTTTCATTGCCAACGGACACGGCGTCGGCATCACGATCATCATGATGAACACCCTCACCATTCTTACCTTGGTCAAGGGACTTCCCTTGTTGGCTCTGGGTGTGGCAGCGGGAGCGACATATCCTCCGATTCCCGCCGACCTGACCACACCCGTCCAGCACCGCATCGCCATCAACAGCCCGACGTGTGAGTGACCTTTTTTCCCATCATAGAGCAAGACCCGAAGGAACTGACATCAAGGCCCAACAGCCGTCCGCATCGCCTGGAACACGTACAAGCAGCTCAGCCAGCCGTGCGTCCAATACGGCACATCGCCATCCTCCCTCGGCTCCCAATCCTGCTCTACGTCGTCCATCACCTACCCGACATCGCGCACATGGGCCAACGTGGTCACCATCAACGACCTCACACCCGCCACCACGTACTACTACAAAATCGTCTCTACCAATTCCACGGTCGAGACCTTTACCAGCCCACGCCTACCGGGCGACAAGACGCCTTTCAACATCAGCATCGTCATCGACCTTGGTGTCTACGGCAAAGACGGATTCACGATTGAGCAGGATCAGAGCAAGCGAGACCTGATCCCGTCCATCGATCCGTCGCTCAACCACACCACCATCGGCCGGCTGCGCGACAACATCGACAAGTACGATTTCATCGTGCACCCAGGTGACATTGGCTACGCCGACGACTGGATCCTCAAAGCACACAACTGGCTCGACGGCAAGGACGGCTACCAAGCCATCACCGAGACCTTCTTTGACCAGCTGGCGCCCATCGCCGCGCGGAAACCCTACATGGCCAGCCCCGGTAACCACGAAGCTGCGTGCCAAGAGGTGCCCAAAACCAGCGGCTTGTGCCCTTCGGGCCAAAAGAATTTCACCGACTTCATCAACCGCTTCGGTCTCGTCCTGCCGACCGCTTTCAGCTCTACGTCGCCCGACTCGGCAGCAAAGGTCAACGCCAACAAAGCTCGCATCCTCGCCAACCCGCCCTTTTGGTACTCATTCGAGTACGGCATGGCGCACATTGTCATGATCGACACGGAAACCGACTTTGAAGACGCGCCCGACCAACCGGGGGGATCGGCGAATCTCAACGGGGGTCCCTTTGGCTCGTACCTCCGCCAGCAGCTGGACTTTTTGGAAGCTGACCTTGCCTCGGTCGACAGGTCCGTTACCCCCTGGGTTGTCGTGGCGGGCCACAGGCCATGGTACACCACGGGCTCGGGCGACGATTGCCAGCCGTGCAAAAAGGCGTTTGAGCCGCTATTTTACAAGTATGGAGTTGACTTGGGCGTGTTTGGGCATGTGCATAACAGCCAGAGGTTTGCGCCGGTGGTGAATGATACCGCGGACCCGGCGGGCATGGAGAATCCCAAGGCACCCATGTATATCGTGGCGGGCGGCGCGGGAAATGTGGAAGGGCTGACCAAGGTTGGAAAGAATGTGTCGACGAATCGGTTCGCGTATGATGACGCGTTCAGCTATGCGACGGTGAATTTCTTGGATGAGCAACGGATGCAGGTGGACTTTATCAACAGCGAGACGGGTGCGATTCTGGATCGGTCGGTGCTGTTTAAGAAGCATGATCAGAAATTCGTTGTGCAGTGAGTTGTCTGGTTGGTCGATTTTCTCTGTTCGGTATCGCGTTTATCCGGTTAGGTAGACTTTGCAGTATTTGGGTCGCAGTAATCTCAAGAGATTCACTCAATGAAGATGGACAGTTCGAAAAAGTGAAGACGCAACCAATTCCCGGAACATCACCGCCTAGAACAACAGTTAGAAGCAACTGCCGCGTTCGGCCGCTCCCCTCGGGCCCCTTCCCCCGCACAGCAACCCCCTGCAAGCTGCAGTGCCCTTGACAACCCCAACCCCCTAAACCCCCCACGGATCTCCCCAACCCGCCAACAACGTCAGTCATCTCTTCCTTTCCACTTTACTCTTGATCTCGGAAGACGTGATGCTGTGCTTCACCAGTTCTGCAGTGACAACGTTGCTCCCCTCACGGAGTTGGCACGTTAACGAAAGGACCTGGAGTAGGTATCTGGAGTTGGGCGGGTTTCCTTTTCCTTTTCTCCCTCGTCCTCTCAGTCGTCCCTCTCGATTCGACCTCCTGAAACTACCCGAAACATTTGGAATAATTCGAGAATCACTCAGTGATTTCAATGTCTCGGCATCAAAATGGTCAGCAGCTGGAAGCTACCTCAACACATATTCCGATTCATTGTCTTTCAAGCAGAGAAGGGTCTTTGACAGCCAACACCAACGATAATGATCCCCGCCTAAAGGAACAGGAAGGCGAAAAGCCCCCGGTGTTGGATACGCATGGAGATGCTCAGTCATCAGGGATATCACTGCCTCAATTCGCCCAGGTAGACGGCGTTGATGAGAGTACATCAACGCTTGATGGAGTTCCATGGAAAAGCCGGCTCTCTACACTCTGGCACTGGAAACCCAAAGCGGCTAGGTATGACCCCGACAACCCTCCCAAGTTTACAATATGGATGAACATCCTGTTCGGGTTTGTGAGTGGTGTCCTCCATGTCAGCCAGTCGAATGTTTCGGATCGTCACTAACACCTCCTCCCACCCAGGCATCATGCTTCACCGTATCCAACCTGTACTACAACCAAGCCGTCCTAAACAAGATGGCAGAGACTTTCGATGTCACCTTTGAAAAGGCCTCGTCGGTAGCCACGCTGATGCAAGCCGGCTATTGCAGCGGTTTGCTGTTCATCTGTCCGCTTGGTGACATCTTTCCCCGCCGACCATTCATACTTGGGTTGATTGCCTTTACCGCAACCCTGGTACGCCTCCCCTATCTTCCCCGTCCTTGATTCAAATGTCACTAACATCGTCTGGGTTCAATCAGTGGATCCCCCTCTGTCTAACAACCTCCTTTCCCTCCTTCGCCGCCATCTCCTTCCTCTGCGGCGCCAGCACCGTCACCCCGCAACTCATGCTCCCCCTAGTCGGCGATCTTGCGCCCCCCGCCCGCCGCGCCTCTTCGCTAGCCGTCATCGTCTCCGGCCTCTCGCTCGGCGTCCTTCTCGCCCGCACCTTGGCCGGCGTGCTAGCCAGCTTTACCTCCTGGCGCAACATCTACTGGTTCGGCTTAGGCGTGCAATGGCTCGTCTTTGCACTGCTCTACATCTGGATGCCTGATTACCCCTCCAAAAACCCTGACACAAAGTTCAACTATTTCATACTGCCGTGGCAGATTGCGCAACTGCTGGCCACCGAACCGTTGCTCTTACAGGCGGCGCTGGTGGCCTTCCTGCACAGCGGTATTTTCACGAGTTACTGGACGACGCTGAGTTTCCTGCTGGGCAGTCCGCCGTACGAGTACTCGTCAATGGTGATTGGGTTGTTCGGGTTGATTGGCGTGGTGGTGATTGTGTGCGCGCCGATTTACTCGCGGCTCATAATCGATCGGTTGGTGCCGCTGGTGTCTGCGATCATGGGCCTGGTGGTCGAGACGGTGGGTGTGGTGGTGGGCACGTCGGTCGGCAGCTTTAACGTCGCGGGCCCCGTGGTGCAGGCTATTCTGATTGATTTGGGCGGACAGTTTACGCAGATCGCGATGAGAAGTTCGATTTATGGCATTCAGCCGTTGGCGAGAAACCGGGTCAATACGGCGTACATGGTGGTCAGCTTCGCTGGGCAGTTGACGGGGACGGCGGTGGGGAATAGGCTTTATGCTCAGGGTGGGTGGGTGTACAGTGGTGCTTGTGGGAGTAAGTGTCAACTGTCTGGGAACGTGTGCTTGGATAGAGAGAGAGAGATGCTAACAGGAAATAGTTGCCTTTGGCGGGTTTGCGTTGATTATCTGCCTTGTCAGAGGACCAAGAGAAAAAGGGTGGGTTGGCTGGTCAGGGGGTTGGACTTGCCGAAGAGAGGACTTAGCGCCGAAGAAGAGTGAGATGATAACGGAACAGGCACTCGAGGAAGCCGGTGCAGTTGGTGAAGGCGGCGAAGCCGTTCGACGTGACGTTGAATGCGTCAGTGCATCCAATGGTGGGAACGTCACAAGTGATGGCAAGACGCAACAATGAGCGTTCGGTTTCATCTGGGCTGTTGGCCGAGTTGGCCATATAGGGCAAATACCCGAAGCACAAATACCATTTATCACTACAAATAACGATATCACAGACACTTAGCGGTGGCTTGTCTATGCATAGGAGGAGGTGTTGACAGGGGTTTGGATGACTCGGCTACACCTCGGCCGGGATACGAATGTTAGTTAGGGTGAGTACGTCGATCATACAGAAAGTCGGCAAACAGAGGTTAGCGGCCGGGCACAAACGATTGGCTGGGTTCCATTGTTTGGCCCACCTGGCCCACATTGCGTTGTCCATCTTCTCTCTGTTGCTCCACCATCGCCTCGCATGGGTTTTTCATCGCACACGCATGTCTCGTCGATCCTCGGTTTTTCCGTTGTCCAGATTGATGATACACACATAGCGCTACATTCAAGGCATATATAAGGCAAGTCAAGATACCCTCATGCTTTGCAGCGAAGGACGGAAGCATGCTGTAAGACCCGCTGTGGCTGATCCCATACCTAGTGTACCTTTGAACACTGAGGCCTTTCTCCCCAGACGGATAGGTCTCATCAACATCCGACCATGCAAAAGGTAAGGCATTTTAGGTGTTGTACAGATGAAGGCATGTTTCAGCACGGCCTACTCAAAGTCTTGATGGGGGGGATATGCGCAAAAGTATACTTGGGAGCTTCTGGGCGCCAAGCTTTCCCTTTTACTGCGTACATCCATTGACGGATTGTAGATCAATGCTGGAAAGTTTGTTGGCGTATTACAAGCCCCACATCATTCAATAAGGGGGTTGCAAGCTTGGACATAGGTATCTACGAGTTCTTGAGAAAGAGTTGGTTGACAGACAATTCAGATAGTTCATACACACACACACGCTTTATTTTCACCAGCCTGGTTGCCCAAATCACTCGAACCACCTAGAATCAACACCTATTACCTGCTATAATTGATAAATTACAAGGCATCTACAGATCCCCTCCGCCCCCCTTGTCGAAAACTGCTTACAACTACCGCGCTAACGAACTTTCCAGGGGTGAACTGTAGACTAAAGGGGTAAAGAAAGCTTGGTGCTCCAGAAGCCCCCCCAAGTACCTCCTTTACACGGTATATCACCACCGCTTTGCAAGTTTCGCGATTATCTCTCTTTTTACACTCTCATTACGAACCCGCTTATTCGACTAATCTTTGAGATTACAAACAGCATACCTTCCTTCAAGCATGGAGCCACTCATTGTCGACCAAGTTGGCATCACCTGGAACCCAGGCGTTCACCGACGTTTTCCATGGCTAGGAGTCATCCCGTTGATCTTGAGTATATGCTGTGAGCACACAATTGAACCTGAGCCGATCTGAATCCAGCACCCGCCACTCACAACCTTTCCTTGTACGTGTAGGTACAGGACTCGCCATTGGAGTCGTTCTTGCGAGCAGTGGTCAGCCAGAGGCGGACTGGTCTGGACACAAGCAACCAGGTGTGCTCTTGGCCTACACCTCAACTCTTGCAAACGCCTTAACTGGGCTTGCTTTCGCTCAAGCGACCGTGGTTTTCTTCTGGACACAGGCTGTGCAGCCAATGCCAGTTAAGTATCTTCTTTCTGTTTTTTTTTCATCAAACCCATACTTACCTTGCTAACACAGTAGCTAGGTCAGCAACCTGCACTATAACTGGGCAAGCTCTTCGAGCGTCATAGGAGCTTTCAGATCACTTTGTCGCAAAAAAGCCTTCCGAGCAAGTATAGGTGAGGTCTTGGTCTTCCCAATCACCACCAACAAGCTTGGACTTGCGGTGGATATTGAATGCTGTCTTTCCGTCCATAGCTAACCATTCAAGTAGTGACTATCATTGTGACTATTACGAGCTTCCTGCGCGGTCCTCTGATGCAAAGAGCCTCCTTTGTCCAGATCGTGGATGTGTCTCATAACGGTACTGTTGATCTTCAAGTAAAGCATGATATCAGCGATACTTGGGGAGGTACGGTAGACGGGCGGGACACCAGAAACGTCATGTTCACTTCAGAATTTGCACAAGTAACCCGGGATTTCCAAGCTAAAGCCCCCATTCACATTGAAGGGGCCTCGTGTGAGAATTGCACGTTGACTGTCAAGGTGATATCTATATCTATGCCCAGTTCTTGTTAATAACATGCCGTGTGTTGGTAATATTGAAGGCTGACTTCTACTCATGGCGGATTAGGCCTTCGGGTTCGATGTTGATCACTGTGAAGAGCTGACTTCTTCACCAACAAACTATAACCTTACGGTTGACCTGGCGACCATCGGAAACGTATCACGCATCTTCGAGTCCGCGATCGATGTCTGGTTTGAACATCGATCCTTTACCGCGCTCAACATTTCCACAAAACGTAAAGCGCACTCGGACGGTGGTGATGAAGCGTATCCACAGGCATGTTCCGGCAAGCTAGTAGGCCAAACTTGCATCCTTGTACCCTCCGTAGTGGCGTACAACATCTCTATTACGGGAGGACACGCATCCTTCCAAACAGACAGCTGGAAAGATGATCGCGTTGTGGAGCATATGTACGTCAGTCAATCATGCACCCAGACTTACCCTCCATTCCTTGTGAGACTCACCGTTATTCTTTGTGTGGTTGGAATAGCTAACGAAACGTGGTACCCGTCTTCAAGAAATTTAACATGGCCCTTATCGGGTGCAGGTTCGGGTATAACTATCCTTCCTCTCCAGGTCGTTGGATCAACCCTCTTCAACTCAATCGCCGAGGTGTGGTGGTCAGGCGCAGTGGGCTGGGCAACAAAGGCCGACGGACTTACAGCCAACTTATACACGGGAAACTGGTCCGCGGCTCGGTCTCCATGCCATCAATTCTATCTAGACCCCATGGATGACATAATCAACAGCTATCGCGAACTGGCATTCCGCATGTCTGTCCACGCAGCCAATAACCCTGGGCATGACCCCCTGGGCGTCCCGCTCCCACGTGAAGAACAAAAGGGGATTCCGTATACAAGTCACCTCACACAAGTCCAGTACGCCGCCAATATCCCGGAACTGCTCCTCGCAGTAGCCGTCAGCCTCGCCGGACCGGTGGCTACCATGGTACTGCTTTGGGGTTGGTGGAGGCTAGGCAAGAGTTTCTCCATGAGTCCACTGGAACTCGCTTATGCGTTCAGTTCTCCTCCCGAAAAAGGGCCCTACGGAAAGTCATCGCTAACACTGTTATCGGAGTCGAAAAGTGACCTGGGTTACAATGGCGGCGGCGGCGGCGGCGTTACTACTACTACGCAACAGGAGAACGAAGCAGGTGGAATGGGTGGTCTCTTTGTAGATTGCGACAGGACCGCTTCAGCTGGTGAACTGGCTGATCACTTCCGCAACAAAGGGAAGGGCTCTGGAGGAGGAGGAGGAGAGCCAAAGATACAATATGGTGTTGTGAACGGCGAAGGGGGTCGTTTTTCTTTTGCTGTTGTAGAGGGCTTGTGATTGGGCGCTGCTGCTCATGAGCTGAAGGAAGGGAGTTTGTTGCAGTGAGTAATTTTTGAAGCCACATGTATCGATACCGTTGCATGTTAGTTATTATGGTAGATGGTCACGGCTCGAGATGCTGATGAATTTGGCAGGTTTGCAGGATTTGGATCCATGTTGGCGCGCTGAGGTTTTTGCGTTCACGGTTGTATCCTTAAGGCAAGTTGAGCAAATTACCAGGAGTGACCCGCAACAGCATTAGTTCTCAGCGGGCAAACCCGCATGATACAGGTGCGACTGTCGACTTTGCAAGTGACAATTTTTCTGTTTAAACAAGAGAAAAGAAGGAGCATAGGTACTTAGGGTGACCATGTTCGTTTGGCATATTGACAATGCCTTTCCTTCTTTATGATAGTCTCAATGGAAGGAAATTTACTACGGTTATAGCGGCTACTAATATTAGGACGAGAGAAGAAAAGGAGAAGTAGCCTGGCTAGTAGTTAGGTTGGTGACGACCGGCGAATCCTAGGTGTTGTATGTTGTTTAATTTTTTTCTCTTTTCGATTTTTTTCTTGTTTCTCTTGTGAGTTCCTTCTGGTCCCCCGTATAATATAAGGTACCTCTACCTATATAGGGCTGAGTACTCTTTCCCTTGGAACTTTTACCGGACAAACTGGCGAACCTAAGAAACGAGCAGGAGAAACAAAGAAGGAATAAAGGGAACTCGAGAGAAGATACAGGCCAACGGAACGGCAGATCCACAAAAAAAAAAGAAAAAAAGAAAAAAAAAAAGAAACACACAGCCAACAATCGACCCACCAGATCCGACTCAAATCCCATAACCCTCCACGGTCTACAGTCAACTTCCAAGTCAACCAACTCATTACTTCCAATCCAATCCATTATTTCCACTTCCACTTCCACTTCCAACTCCAAAGTCTACTTTAGTAAGTAACTGTCAACGCCTTCCCCAGATACTTCTCCCCATCATCACCAACCACCAGCCTCTCAAAGATCCAAACCCCGGTATCCTCTCTGGAAATCGTATACCCAACCACCCTTTCGCCCTCCAGCTTTTTTCTTCGCAAATCTTCCACTCCAATCCTGACTTTTTCCAGCCCAATTTCTGGCCCATCAGTCAACATACTAGGCCTAACCACCGTCCATCTCTCTTCGTCACTCTCTACAAAAACGCTCTCCATAGCCCTCTTGTCCTTGAGGGGGTTTCTGAGAAGGAGCGCATAGAGCGGGTAGAGAGGGAGGGGGTAATCCCTGTGGACGGTAGAGGCGCCGGCGGCGCTGAGGGTGATTATGTAGGGTTGTTTTCTCTTTGCTTCCCCTTCCCTGCTTGAAGAGCTGTTTCCACAAACCGAAGCTTTGTTGGGGACATGGAGGGAAGCCCGGCGGACTTGGTCCAGCGCGGAAAGCAGCGCACGAGCACCAGTTTCGCAGACGTGCGGATCGTCGATGCCTAGCTTCTTCAGATCAGGTTTGCCGCCGATGGAAGTGATCACGATATCGACCAGCGTCGTTCGGTCGGAGGGATGGGTGAGAAGCGGAACAAGGTCGGAAGAGGAGTGGGCGTTGCCTTGGATGATGCGTAGCGAAGGGGAGGAGAGCTCGGTTGGTGTGAGGAGGGATTGGAGGCGGGAGAGAGAACAGGCGAGGACGGTTATGGTGAGGGATGGATGGTTTAGTGGCTGGTTTGGCTGGCTGGAAGAGTTGGAAGAGTTGGAAGAGGCGAGACACCTGCGAAGGGTTGCGAGGGCGATACCGCCTGTGGCGGAGATGAAGAGGATTGATTTGCTGGTTTGAGTGGAGGTGGAGGTGGACATTGTAGTTGAGAGACGAGTGTTGTTGGAGGGAACTGAGGGTTGGAGATAAATGTTGGACTTGACTTGAAGTGTGTGTTCTGGGATATTGTGCTCGGGGTGTGTTGCGAGGGCAATAAAGGATGATGAGATGAAGCTGCTGCGATGAAGAAAAGAAGTGTCTTCTTCAACTTTCCTTCGAGTTGACCGTGGGTTTATATCAAAAACCCAGACTGACTTCAACCACCTGTTCTATCTTCTCGGAGCGGAGCAACACTGTTACCACCTCTCCTCCCTATTAAAGCTACCACCACTAGATCCTCAGCCCTCCATTCCCAAAGCGGTTCAGGTAAACTCATAATCAAAAAACACTGTCACCCTCCCCCACATATCTAATAGGCTAAGGGGTGACAGTATTTTCTGACTGTCACTGTACGTACGCCAAATACAGGGCTTGGATCGAGTTAAAGTTGAAGCCATCGCCCAACTCTCAACACCTCTACGACACAAGAGTCTGGAGTTCTCCCGATGAACTCCACCGGGCTACAAGTGGCGTTTTTCTCGCCCTCTGATTTGTTCAGTACCAAGCCACACGGTCGTGACAGTCGCAGAGACGGAGGAGAAAAGAGCCGAGTACTTTGTGCCAAGAACGCCCTGTTAGTAATACACGCCCGCTTACGGTTGTCTCAGGCTGTAATGGGAGGATGGGGAGTTAACAGGCTTGGCAACGGTTAGCGTTCTTGGTGGTATCGCTTTGCTCTTTCTCGGAGCTCAGCTGGAGGCGGTAGTGGGTGGGATGGAAGGTGACGCTTTGGCGAATTGAGAGAGGCAGTGAAATACGTTCAAGCTTTAGAAGATCAGTATATATTCCTTATAAAACTTATGAATCTTTTTTTTTTTCCTTTTTTTTTTTTTTTTTTTTTTTTTTTTTTTTTTTTGTTTGTTTGTTTTTCTGAGCGTGTTAGAAACGAACGTTTAGGGGTGCGAGTAACCCTTTACTAAGGTGAAAAGTGGAAAAAACATATAAAACTTGGGATTCGCTGGTCGTCACCGACGTTAGTTCCTTCTGGTCCCCCGCATGACACTACCTCTAGTTATCTGGAGCTGGATGCTGTTTCCCTGAGTAATTTTCACGAACTAACTCGCGAAACTTGGGAAAGGAGCAAAGGGGTAATAAAGAAGAGTAAGAAAAGAACTCGAGAGAAAACACCAAGCGAACAAAATGGCAGAAAAAAAAAAGATGCTAAAAAAGAGGAAGTACATGATGAGTTGATCGTTATCACTCGGATACCGGGAGTCGAACCCGGGGCTGTTGAGAAGGCAGACACTTTCTGTGGGAAAGTGAGAGTCAACGATGTTACCGCTACACCATACCCGATTTTACAAGTATGGATTTCCTTCCTTGGTTGTTCAGAGGATCCGGAAGTTGGCTTGATAAAAGCACGACAAAATTTTTGTTGTTGTGGAGCTGTGGAGAGGGACCCATTCAGGGTTTTGAGAGAAGCCTCGCGTGCCTGGGTGTGGCCTGCAAATTATGACCAATGGTCTTACATCAATAGCACGGTGGATATGTTTGCCGGCCGGGATCTCTTGAGAAAGAACAATGAATATTTTAAACTATCTTCAACTGTGTTGTTTTGTCGTTGTCATACTACGAATGTCATGCTCTTATAGTGTGTCAACCGAAAGTAGTATGAAAAAAACATCGATTGTATTGCAAACGTCACAAGACAAAGGGCAACAAGTATATGAACAGATGGTCAAATATATAATGTCAATGATCCAAAGGTCATTGAGGCGGAGCTATGTACAAGATGATAGAAGAATGCAATACACGTAATATGTACTTGAAGTTGAGGTACTGTGGAACCCTCTGTTTTGCGTCTGCCCATTATCATTTCTCAAACGTTAATCCTTTTGACGCCCTGGTTATCCCGATCATTTTTGTTCGCAGTCGAGGTTCACCATGCTGCCGATAATAACTGGCCGATCAAAAGGTTACCCATGCAGGCTAGTGATTTACACGCACTGGGAGTAATAGTCGTTGATCTTTTGGCAAGTGTAAGGGCTCTGGCAAGTGGTGGGGCCAGAGAAGCCGATACCACCGCACTGAGCCCAGTGAGCAGCACCGGTGCCGCTGGGGTTGGAGGCAGTAGAGGTGGAAGAAGGCTTAGCAGTGGAGGTGACGGGCTTGACGGAACTCGAGGGGTTGGAAGGAGGGGTGCCGGAAGAGCCGCCGCTAAAGGTAGAGCCGATGGGGCCGAACTTGATGTTGGAGAAGATGACCTTGGAGTTGGGAGCATTGGCCTCGACCTCAGCGGGGACACCCGAGGTGGTAGGGCACTCGCCACGGTAAGCACCGGGGCTGCCACCCTCGACAGGGTAGGTGGAGTCGAGCCAGAGCATGTTGGCGGCATGGTCGTCCCAGATGGACATGACGAGGACCATGGGCTTGGCAAGGGCCTTGCCCATCTGCTTCAGGCCACCCTTCTTGTTGAAGTCATCGATGTCGCCGAAAGCAGTCTTCTGAGCATTGCAGAAAGACTGGGTGATGGAGTTGCCAGAAACTCCATCAATGTTGGACTGAGAGTTCTCAATGACTTTGCCGTTCTGGACGTAGAAGCGCTTGATCTCAGCAAGATCGCCAGCGGAGTCCTTGATGAACTGAGTGACAACGGTGAACTTGGAGCTGGTATCGACAGTTTTGCCCTCACCGTAGAAGGTGGTGTTGCCCATGCGGTAGCTGTTGAAGTCGCAACCATCGGCATCGCAAGTACCGCCATAGCGGTCGTCGGAATAGGTACCACCGCAGGAGTCACCCTCGCACATGTGCTGTTCGATGGTAGTGCAAGGGTGCGGGGTGAACGCTGTAGAGACCTTGTTCGCTTCCCTTGGGTGGGAGTCAGTTACCTGTGATACTGATGGTGAAAGAGGAATGGGCAAACGAACCAGATATCCATCTCAGAGCAGCAAGTACCGTGGTTACCAATACCAGCGTTAGCATCGTTGGTGGAGGGGGTCCAGCCCTCAACGTTGGCGACACCGTTGATGTACTTGAGATCACGGGGGCACTGAGCGTCGCAGTAACCGGTACCGTACTTGGCACCAGCCTTGTTGTTGGTGTACTTGGCCTTGCCACCATCAAGATCCATGGAGACGAAGTAGAGGGCGCCGTTAAGACCGCAGCCGGTGCCGGACACATCGACATCGAAGGTGAACTCGTTGCCGAGGAGCTCGAAGCCTAGGCGCAGTGTCTGTTAGCCTCTAGGTTTTCAAGGGATGGGGAGAGATGAGCACGAACCCTGGTAGGCATCGGCACCGTTCATAAGGTAAGTACGGGAACCAATGTTGGTCGAGTACGAGCCCTTGGTGACGAACTGGAGGCTGAGCGAGTTGCCGCTGGTCTGAATACCATAGGTAGAAGAGTACTCAGCACCATCAACGCAGCACTTGGTCGCGCAATCGGTGTTGGTGCTGCAGAGGGAGGTGTCCCACTTGTTGCCGCTGTAGCAGTTGGTGCTACCGGAAGTAATGTGAGTCCAGCGCCAGTTGGCATCAACAGTGATGGATCCGGCGACGTTGGTGCATCCGGAGGAAGTGCACTTGGACCAGTTGAGGGAGGGATGGGTTTCGGCAGTGAGAGAGCAAGCAGCCTGGGCGTTGGCAGAGGCCACAAGGGCCGCAAGGGCAGCGAACTTGGCGAGCATGGTGAGGATGAGGCTGAACGGCGTGCTTGAGGATGATGATTGCGAGATCGAACTAAAGGAGTCTGAAGAGGTGCCGAATCCCCAGATTATATAGATGTTGATGCCTCGTAGAGCACCCCATGGTTCGTTTGCCACGCCAGTTTCGTGAAGGCGTGCCAGGCTCCGAGGTGCGGTCGGCTTTGCGGGAGGATTGCCTGGCCGGATTTCGACAAGGTCAGTAGATCAGAGGGAAAGGCGACCAAGGACATTGTGAGTTCGGCTCACGGCCCGTCACAACCACGATCCTCAAGCGGAAGTGTCGCTCCCATCTCCCGAGCTGGCCTCCAGGCGTGTGGAGGATCTCAGCGCGCGCGCCAGGCTTTGCGAAGGTCCTTAGCGTGCGTAGTCTCACGTTAAGGGAAACGGGGCCGGCGGCATAATCATCTTGGCTTGCGAAGGGGGGCAAGCGCGAGGCCGAAGCCGGTGGATGGGGATGATGGGTTGGTCTCTGGACCACGAGACATGCGGACAGACACTTTGTCGACGTTGCAACGGCGTCGTCTTGGCCTTGGTTTTGGCGGCGCTAACTTCCCCAGGTCCCCAGAACCGCACCTGAAATGAGCCGATTAAGGTTGGGTATAGCAGACAGAGGCGAGTGCTGTTGATTGGAGGGTCCGCGATAGCCTCTGCCATGCTTGATGCGGATGGGGTTTTCGGAGAACGACGCCCCGAGCCGCACCAAAACGGATGGCAGTCTGATTTTAGCTCGACCGTTTCCAGTTTCCACACCAGCGGACCGCATCCATGGAAAGCGGAGCCCAGGACCGATCGGGTGCCCTTGGGGCGACTATAGAGCCACCACTATTCTCGCCTGACTAGTGCTATGTGCTGGGCGCTGCGTGTTTCCGAAAAGCCGTCGAGGTTGAGCTGGCAGCTTTCAAGTTCTTTTGGAGTCTGGCCATGCTTGATTTGGCCCAAACGGGATGTGAGGGGATGTCGGTTGCCCGTGACTGTTGACTGCTGTCCCTCAGGTTAGCCCCTGTTCGACTCTAGAGTACTGGAAAAAGCATTAGCAAAAGGCAGCCGGATCAGCAGACTTTTTTGGTGATAACTACCTCACTTGGACCGTCCGATTCAAGTTGGTGATCATCAGTTGTTCTCGAAATGGTGATGTTTGGTCTCGGCTCCGCACTCCCCCAGCCAAACACGGAACCCCAGGTTCCTTCCCGTCTCTCGCAGCCAGTGATCGGCAGGGGCCGAAAAGGGAATAGCTTCCCCGCACCCGCTCGTGTGTGTGCTGACTGCTGGGCACTTGACACTGCGCCCAGAGCCGATCTGTGGTTGTTGTTGGCTACACGACGCGCGTATGTAGAATGTACTCGATTGAAATGCATAGAGGTATGTTCATGCGCATGGAATGTTGTTCATCGTGCCCTGGTCGGTATTAGGTATCCAGAAGACAAAATGAGACGTACCTTTTGAATCCACCCACACCAAGCGCAAGTCAGACCCACGCACGCTGGCGCGTGCGTAAGGCGTAATGTGGCTATTCTCGTGCACTAACTACTATAAAGGGTTAAGATTTAAAAATCCAGTCTTTTTCATTTTTGGAAATATATGACACGTTTGTTTTATCTTCGCGTTTTTGAAAATTTTCGTATAGTGGATAGACGTATTAGGTAATAAGGAATGAAGATAAAATAAGAGTAGTAATAAGGGATAAGGATAAGATAAAGGGGGTAGTAAAGGATAAAAATAAGTTTTTGAAAAAAATAAGAGGTAAAGAGAGTTTCGGAAATTAGGGTAGGAGGAATATATAGATAAGATAAGTAATAATATTTTATAATAGGTATAGTATAGTAGTTGATATATTGGCTGTTTGATGTTAAGGTTGTGGGTTCGATTTAGTTTGTGGTTTTTTTTTTCTTTTCTTTTTTTAGAAATTAAGACTTTTATTATCCTAGAACTATATATATATATATATTTTATAATATAAATACTTCTTTATACTCTTTTTTTTCTTAGAATATATAAAATATATTAAAGACAATTATAAAAGTATATAATTTGAATTATATAGATAATAATAAAAAATAATTTAAAAAGTTTTTATAAAAAGAGAACTTTTCTTTTTTATTTTTATTTACTTTCAATTTTAACTACTTAGTTTTACATATAAGTTTCATAAAAACTTACTAATATTTTATATATTTAATTCTACTACTTAATATATAAGTTAACTATTATGTTATTTATATATTAACTAACTTTGTTAAGAAAAACTACTTTATCTACCTTATATTTAAATTAACTATTATACTACTTATATATATATAAAAAGTTAACTAATTTAACCGAGAGAAAGTACTTTACCTACCCTGTATTCAAATTAATTATTATACTACTTATATATATAAAAAAAGCTAGCCAATTTAGTTGAAAGAAAGTACCTTACCTACCCTATATTACCTACCCTATATTTAAATTAACTATTATACTATATAAGAAAAGCTGGCTAATTTGGCCGAGAGAAAGTGCCTTACCTACCCTGCATTTAAATTAATTATTATACTACTTATATATATATAAAAAGCTAACTAACTTAGTCGAAAGAAAGTACCTTACCTACCTTGTATTTAAATTAACTATTATACTACTTATATATATAAAAAAAGCTGGCCAACTTGGCCGAAAGAAAGTACTTTACCTACCCTATATTACCTACCCTGCATTTAAATTAACTATTATACTATATAAGAAAAGCTGGCCAATTTGGCCGAGAGAAAGTGTCTTACCTACCCTGTATTTAAATTAATTACTATACTATATAAGAAAAGCTAGCTAATTTGGCTAAGAGAAAGTGCCTTACTTACTTTATATTTAAATTAACTATTATATTATTTATATATATAAGAAAAGCTAGCTAATTTAGCCGAGAGAAAGTGTCTTACCTACTTTGTATTTAAATTAACTACTATACTATATAAGAAAAGCTAGCTAATTTGGTTAAAAGAAAGTGCCTTACCTACCCTGCATTCCCTACCCTGTATTTAAATGAATTATTATACTACTTATATATATAAGAAAAGTTAGTTAATTTAGCCGAGAGAAAGTGCCTTACCTACCCTATATTCCCTACCCTATATTTAAATAAACTATTATACTACTTATATATATAAGAAAAGCTAGCCAATTTAGCCAAGAGAAAGTACCTTACCTACCCTATATTCGAAATTAGTATTTTATTTACTAATAAAAGTAGTTAATATAGTTAAAGAAATAGTTTTTTACTTACTTAATATTTATTTTAAAAAAGTTCTATAGTAGGGTTGAGTTTGGTAGTTGTAAATCGATTTTTAAAATTTCCTATACTAAATAATTTTACGGGAATTGAAAAGTCGTAATTTAGCTTATTTACTTATACCTTCCCTAAACCTAAAGTTGTAGGGTATATAAGAGAAGGTAAAAGCGACCGGTTAAAGTAAGAGTAATTAATTAAGGTAAGAGCAATTAATTAAAGTAGGTACGACCGGGTATAGGGTCGTATAGTAGGATTTTTATAGAGGGTTATACGCTTATAACCGTCTACGATTATATATAGGGGGGTTCTTATAAAGGGTTATATACTTGTAGCTAGGTCTACGACTATATATAGGGTTATATAGTAGGATTCTTATAGAGGGTTATATACTTATAACCGGGTTTACAATTATATATAGGGTTATTTAGTAGGATTCTTATAGAGGGTTATATGCCTATAGCTGGGTTTGCGACCGTGTATAGGGTTGTTTAGTAGGATTTTTATAGAAGGTTATATACCTATAACTAGGTTTGTAATTGTATATAGGGTTATTTAATAGGATTTTTATAGAGGGTTATACGTTTATAACTGTTTACAATTATATATAGGGGGGTTTTTATAAAGGGTTATATACTTATAGCTAGGTTTACAATTATATATAGGGTTGTTTAGTAGGATTTTTATAGAAGGTTATACGCTTATAACTATTTACAATTATATATAGAGGGGTTTTTATAGAGGGTTATTATAAGATAAACGGCTTGCAGGCATGCAAAATAATATAATTATTATTATTCTAACTAAAAATCTAACTACGTCGAAGCTTTCCCTAAGTTGGGTTTTATACCCTGCCTAGGTCCGCTAGCATATCTTACCTACCGGTTATTAATCGTCCCAACTAAGGTAGGGTTAACGTCTTATAATACCCCCTCCCTAATTAATAATTATTATAATTATTATATTAAGTATATATAAAAATTAAAAAATAGTCGGGGTACACAACTAACAGCCTTACCTAGTATTGTAGTAGAATAAAAAGAAAGAAGACTATAAAATAGTAGTATAGGTAGTAAACGGTTCGAACCAATCTAGAGTTACCTATTAGTTAATTTACGATTCCTCCTTAATAGAGATTTATTATCGTTTTAGTTAGTCTCGGTCTACCCCATATAGTTAAAAATTAAAGAGAAAGAAAGGAAATAAGAAAAATAATTACAACGTTAAATATATAGTATAAACCCCCATTTATTAATACCCGGCGGGTATTAATCTTCTAATAAGAATTTCTATTCGTCTATATTATCTTTAGGCGTATTTTAACGAATTGTTAATTCGTTATAACTATTATTATAAGCGATAAGGGCGCTTTCTATATTAATAGGTTTCTTAAACCCGCCCTACGGGCCTTCCTTAATATATACAAATCGCTACAATCCCTAATAATAAATATTACAAACGTATTATTTACTATTAACAGGGCTAATTGTGTTATCTAATTTAAAAAGGTAGAGGTTGTCCCAAACGGCTTTTATTACCTATAGTAATTAGAATATTAGCTCTAGTATTAGTTACTAGAAGGATCTAACTACGGCTGCCCTAATGTTTATTTATATATTTAATCCATCTAGGGCACTAGTAGGTATATTATAAACTAACCTAAAAAATTAAGTATAGTAATAATTCGACGCTTATAATATAATTATAGTACCTTCTAAATTATTATACTTTATAAATAGAGTATTATATTAATTAAATTATTCGGTTATCCTAGTTATTATTATATCGAATCTTTCCGTAACCTTATTAAACTTAGTAGTTATTATGTCCAATTATTCCTAAAATACTTCGCGTTTTTTCTATTTCTTAATTAATCCTTCGGCGGGAATTTCGGCTGTACGCTTAGGGATAATTAAGGTAGCGGTAATCAGTTATTTAAATACGTTAAGGGCGAATAAATTCAGTAGGATTTATATAAAGACGGTTAGGAGGTTAACCGGCATATTAATATTGTAGTTACTATTATCTATAATAATAATTATTTAATTAGCGTCGGGTATAAATATAATAATTAACAGTATAACTATTATAATTAAGGGCGTAGCGGTAGTAGTCAATAATATAGTTAAAATAATCGGGAGCGTGGCGGTAGTAGTCGACAATGTAGTTTAGGCGATATTGGCTAGTAGATTTAGCTAGTACTATCTAAGCTAATTACGGTATAGTTCGGAGACATTTATATATTAGTTATTAAGGAGCCCTATGTTTTTTATATATATTGTTATTACTCTATATACTTTGAGTTTCAATTCATTTCGGCCAATAATTACGTAGGGCCTACGTTCGTTTAATAATTTAACTACCTTGTTAATAATATAGTTAAATATTCGTCTTA